GAACAATAACCCCAATCATCCAATCAGAAGAGTCGCTCATTGTCGGGGTGGATGAGGGAATCCTATTGGTCGGGGCTCCTTGTAGTCTATTCCAGTGTCTGTCACCCCAGCAATCAACTTCCCCCTCCCGTCTCTTTGTTATATCCGTCTGATTACAGCTGACCACTTCCTGTGTCCTCCGCCCGAGCTGAACTCTCATCAGTTACATTGTATGCGGACTACAGAACACCTCCCCCCTGTGTTTTGGAAATGAGGAGGGAGGGGAAGGTATTCTGTAGTCGTGGCCTCGGGTGACAACACTGGTCCTCCAGAGATAGAGTACAAGGAGTGTTGTCACCGGAGGGCAGGAAGTGTGTTACTGGCAGGATCACCAATTAAATATAAAGGGAAAATAAAACTAATGCAGTCGCCACATCTAAGGACTGGAAGGTATGGGGGGGGGGGTGCAGACACATCTAAGGACAGGTGAGGTATGGGGGTGCAGACACATCTAAGGACAGGTGAGGTATGGGGGAGGGGGTGCAGACACATCTAAACAGCTCAAACTCCGCCCACAACCAGAAAGTCACTTCATTGTAGTAACAATATAACTAACGCGTTTCAGCCTCCGCGGACCCTAGTCACAGACCTTGGTGGATGAAACGCGTTGGGAGTTTTGTTACTACAATACATTTGGGGACTTGTACATCAGATTTTGCCCTCCGGTGATGTCACTGCCCTATAACTCCTCCCACAGGCCAGGAAAGAGTTCTGGATTTGCCCATCCTACGGAATGCTTTCCCGGATTGTGGGAGGAGTCCCCGCAACGGGAGAACATTCCGGATATTCGGACTCTACACTACGACACGGATCGGAGGCTTGAAGTGAACCTGAGCGTAGAGGAAACCTGCGCTAACAGACCGCTGCTAGTCGCCTGGCTGTCATATCGATCCTCCGGCTTCACTGCATCGGAGCCAATAAGCTGAACAGTTCACGTGCTCCATGCAACCCGAAGTCAAACATTGGCCACGCCCCTTACCCAGCATCCCTCACTGCTCAGTGCCTGAACAACGTATGGAGAGTTCCAGGCATTCCAACGAGAAACGCAAGAAGGGGCGTGTCCGCTCTGACTTCCTCAAAGTCAGGATTTTTGGGGGGCGGGGTATATTTCGGGGGGACAGTTTGTTAGACCCTCATAATGATCCGTTATTGGTTCAGGAATAACAACCCTGTTGAAGGGGAACTCCGCCCCAAAACGTATTTCTTTTAGTATTGGGTAGGACGGGGAAGGGTTAGTACCTCTGTCAGGTCTTAGTCCCCTTTCGGGAGATATCCTTGAACTTCCTGTTTGCAGGGACACAACAGGAAGTTGTCCTGAACATAAGAAGAAACCCCATTTTTGATAGTTGTCACCAGAACAGGGGTCCCCGTTGGACAGCTGTAAAATTTGGGGTTTCCCGTCACTTCCTCTCCCAGTGACCAGGACAAAGAGAGTGAATCCCCCCCCCCAATGGGACACGGACAGTAAAAGGAACATCTGACGGGGGTTCTAACCCGTCCATACCCCCACCCAAAAATAGAAAAAAACGCTCTGAATGGAGCTCAAACACAATTTGCATGTGGCACGCCCCCGTAATGTACGTCAACCAATGCAAGATAAGACACTCAACACAAAGCCCCGCCTCCTCACGTTCCTCGTGTTCTCCAACTTTTGAATTGTTCTTAAAGTGTACCCAAAGCCAAAACTTTTTTTTTTTAAATCTGGAGGTAGAGAAGTTGTCACCTGAACAGGAAATGAGAAAATATACTAATAAGGACATTTATCCTGGTGACCACCGCTTCCCCTCACGTTAGAGAGATTTCCTTTTACTTCCTGTTGGGTCTACAGAACAGGAAGTGAAATCTCTCCGATGGGGCAACAGGTGGTCAAGTTAAAATAAAACTTGACCGGGGGGCGGGGTAAAAAGTTTTGGCTGTAGATCTACTATAAGTGATAATACGGCTCTACGGTTGGGTTACGCACCTGTAGTCTCCCTTCCTCTTCCTGTGTCTCCAGCCACTGCTTGCCCAGAACGTCCTCCAGCATTTCCTTCCGGGACTTGAGGCTCAGCAGCTCCCTGTCCAGGTTCTGGAGCTGCAGCTGGCTCTGCTTGTTCTCCTCCAGCACCTTCCTCAGGTTCTCCTTGGCCTCGGACAGGCCGCCCTCCAGAGCCGAGACCTCGTTCTTGTAGTCCTCCACGGCCCCCTGCCAGATCTGCGAAAGCCTGGCCGAGTAGTCCTCCACGTTGACGGGTTGGAAGGCTACGGGGGCCACCTTGAAGCTGTCCAGGCGTTGGGAGAAGCTGGAGATCTCTTCTTCCATGGCAGCCTTCTCCTCTTCGTGGACCTTGAGGATGTCCTCCATCTCAACCTCCAGCTGGACCAAACGTTCCTTCAGCCAGCTCTGGGCTCTCCTCTCCTCTTCGAGGAGTCGTTTGCTTTCGGACATTTCCCTCCTCGCCTCTTCCTGAGCGTGTTTCTCCTGAAGGCACAAATCTTTGACGTATTCGATCTCCTGATAAATGTCGTCTCTGGCCGCCTCCACCTCCACCATGCTTTGGTGGCCGTCGTCCAAGGCGTCCCTCAGCTTCATGATCTCCTGGTGGTACTTCCTGACGGAGGGCGCCCCGGGCTCCCGGCGCAGGTGATGGATTTCGGCTCTGAGCAGCTCGTTCTCTTCTTCCAGAGCTTGGACCCGGGAGAGGTAAGCCTCCAGGCGCTTGTTGAGGGTCCACATTTGTGAGGACTCGTCGCCGGGGGTAAAGGGTGTCTGGTAGGTCTCCATTCTCTTGCTTCGGCTGCGGTGGAAAAAACGTCCCGGTGAATGTCGTCTGAGGAGGTTCCGCTGCTACCACCAGCCTGTGGGGAGTCGGGATGCTGGATGCTGATGAGTGAGAAAGTAGCTGAGGAGGAGCAGAGGGGAGCCGAGCTATTCATAAGCTGCATCTGGCCGGGGAGGAGGGGGGAGCCTCCCTTTAAAAGACACTGGTTAACCCTTTGCGGTGATTCCGTGCACCACGTGACCCTCCCCGGCACTGACAGCGCCAGATGTATAAATTCTACAGCGCGCTCATGGCAGGAGCTCACTCACAACATATACACAACGCCCGACGCATTCACGGTTCCTCGGAAGTCACTTCCTTCCAGGAAAAGTAGATTGTAACAACACAAGTGACAGACCACAGGACCCGGTGACATGGAGCATTTTTCGAGGAGGGAACTAGAAGTCACAGGATGCCCTCACGCTACCGGGGCATGCTGGGACTTTTAGCCCCACCGTGACCACACAGCCACCCTGGTTGAAGACACAAATCTTTGACATATTCGATCTCCTGATAAATGTCGTCTCTTGCCGCCTCCACCTTCACCATCTTTTGGTGGCCATCGTCCAAAGCCCGTCCCTCAGCTCTCATGATCTCCTGGTGGTACTACCTGACGGAGGGCAGGGTCAGGGTGTCAAGGACACTCTGGTTGTACAATTTGAAAGCAAGGCTGTGGGAGAATTCTCCGGTGTTGCAGGATATGTCTAGAAATTGGAACAAAAATTGAGACTAATGGAGTGTAAAATTGGGGTAAAAAATAACGCGGATGGAGAATGTTGTTGGTGGTGTTGGTGGGCACAGAGTCCTCGACGCCCTTCAGAGCCCCTTTTTTTTATAGTTGTTGACGAGTTGTGTGTAGAAGGTTGTCAGCCCCTAAGCCCATCTCTTCTCTCTCTTCTCGGTGTGTCCTTTTCTTCGAGGACAGCAAAATCTTGCCAAATTTGGCAAAATGTTGCTTCCAGTCGAGTTGGTTCTGCTGTATTTTTGCCCCCAAAAGTCCAACCAAAACACTCTTCACGAGAAGGATGAGCGAAACAATATTGCCTGCTGTTGATGAAACACATCAAAGTCAATAAGAGGTCGAAATTCCGCCCAATGAGATACCAATTTTGTCAAATGTAGCTGCTCACCCCTTACTTGTCTCCCAGTCTACCTTCCTTCTATCTCCTGGGTTCCTTTCAGCTATGACCCTCCCCCTCCCCCTTGTTATTGTTCAGAAGCTTTGTAAATTGTATTGAATTTACCGGGTCATCGCTGCCCCCAAAATGGCCAAATGGACAGGACAGCCGTGCTGCTCATCGTTGGCCGCCATGATGCCTCAAAGGAAAAGGATGTATAGAAGTTGTGATGACTCCTTGAGGTCTATTGATAAACAATTTGCAGAGCCCCTCGCCCTGTGAACATTTATTCTGCGCTAATAGAGGCGAAAACGGATTCTCTTTTCAGGTTGAATTTTATATTAGGAAAAAAACACATTATGGCCACTAGTTGGAGCTGAGGAGCATAGGAAATACATACCCTCCTGTGCTCCTCAGCTCCATCCAGTGGCCATAATGTGGTAATACATTTGCTCCATCTAGTGGCCAAAAGGTGGGTATACACTTCCTGTGCTCCTCAGCTCCATCTAGGAGCTGGTAAGGTGGTAATACATTTGCTCCATCTAGTGGCCATAAGGTGGTAATACATTTCCTGTGATCCTCAGCTCCATCTAGTGGCCATAAGGTGGTAATACATTCCCTGTGATCCTCAGCTCCATCTAGTGGCCATAAGGTGGTAATACATTTCCTGTGCTCAGCTCCATCTAGTGGCCATAAGGTGGTAATACATTTGCTCCATCTAGTGGCCATAAGGTGGTAATACATTTCCCGTGCTCCTCAGCTCCCTCTAGTGGCCACAATGTGTAATTACATTACATTCAAGCTGAGAAAAAGAAATATCTAAGAACATTAATTTTTGCCTCTATTCACATATGTGGGGCAAATTGCTTATAAATAGACCCCCTTGTGTCACTTCAGGTCTCCCCGATGATGCATGAGCGCCAGCTTTATACTCACAGGTAGATGCAGGACCACCCCGGTGGTCTCCATTGATGCTGTGATGATGTCAGCACAACGTTAAGACTGTGAGCTCAGGGCGCCGTTCAGGGCTTCCTGCTCTGACAGGAAGCGAGGTGAACGGCTCTGGGTGTCACTCAGTCCAAGAGAGGAAGGGGGTTGGACTGGAGCACCAAGTGAGTTTGCAGGGTGATGGCAACGGGGCAATAGCTGCATTGTGAGTGGTGGGAGGGTCCCTCGAATTTAAAATAAAAAGCTAGAATTGGGCCTTAAGTAATCCGCTATAATAAACCCAAAAGACGATCGGTTGCGCTCTTTAGGCTTCACGCCGGCCCCACGCATTGCTAGTCATTACCTCTCCGGAAGTGAACGGGATCCACGGGCGAGCTCCAATACAAAAAGCAGCAGGTAGAGTCCCACCGGAAGAAATCCTTCCATATCATATAACTGGCCAGGGGAGGATTTCTCATTCTCTCAGGAAAAAGTGGAGTTGCACTTTAAATTTGCGATGCCGAGCACAAAATCAACACCTGTCCGCTGCCATCTAGTGGTGCGTTTGCATTACTGCGCGATGCTTCTTTTTTTTACGCAGCAGAGGAATCATTTGGTGATCTTATCCCGCCATCTGGTGGCTCATATTCAGTACTGCATGCGAGCCGAACCTTACAGAGGATCTCCCGAAATTGTGAAAATTAACCCTTGTAGAGGGGCTACCCCGGCACTGCGAGGGTTAACCGCTCGTCTAGGAGCAATAAATAAAGCAGATGTGCTTCTCTGATCCTCAGTCCTGCCTTGCTGCTAGACCGGACCCTGCAGCCTCTTCTTCCCCAGGCTCCGCCGGTCTAAGGACCTGTGAAATCATCACAAGTGCATTGGATGCGAGGACACCTAGGAGCATTCCACCAACAGAGCAGAGGGGGGGAGGGAGGAAAGCGCTGAATGCCACAGGGCTGAGCATCAGGTGAGTAGATCTTTTTTAATCTGCCTCTTAGACCAGAACGAGCGGTTTACTCTTTCAGTGCTGGGTTAGCCACATTTCATGGGTTACATTTTACTATTCTCTGCCACAAGATGTCCTCAGTCCATCACATAACACTGCAGTACTTCTTCTCTGCCACAAGATGTCCTCACTCCAAGGCTCAGCATCACTTAACCCTGCAGTACCTCTTCTCTGCCACAAGATGTCCGATAGTCCAGCGCTCAGCATCACTGAACCCTGCAGTACCTCTTCTCTGCCACAAGATGTCCGATAGTCCAGCGCTCAGCATCACTGAACCCTGCAGTACCTCTTCTCTGCCACAAGATGTCCGATAGTCCAGCGCTCAGCATCACTGAACCCTGCAGTACCTCTTCTCTGCCACAAGATGTCCGATAGTCCAGCGCTCAGCATCACTGAACCCTGCAGTACCTCTTCTCTGCCACAAGATGTCCGATAGTCCAGCGCTCAGCATCACTGAACCCTGCAGTACCTCTTCTCTGCCACAAGATGTCCGATAGTCCAGCGCTCAGCATCACTGAACCCTGCAGTACCTCTTCTCTGCCACAAGATGTCCGATAGTCCAGCGCTCAGCATCACTGAACCCTGCAGTACCTCTTCTCTGCCACAAGATGTCCGATAGTCCAGCGCTCAGCATCACTGAACCCTGCAGTACCTCTTCTCTGCCACAAGATGTCCGATAGTCCAGCGCTCAGCATCACTGAACCCTGCAGTACCTCTTCTCTGCCACAAGATGTCCGATAGTCCAGCGCTCAGCATCACTGAACCCTGCAGTACCTCTTCTCTGCCACAAGATGTCCGATAGTCCAGCGCTCAGCATCACTGAACCCTGCAGTACCTCTTCTCTGCCACAAGATGTCCGATAGTCCAGCGCTCAGCATCACTGAACCCTGCAGTACCTCTTCTCTGCCACAAGATGTCCGATAGTCCAGCGCTCAGCATCACTGAACCCTGCAGTACCTCTTCTCTGCCACAAGATGTCCGATAGTCCAGCGCTCAGCATCACTGAACCCTGCAGTACCTCTTCTCTGCCACAAGATGTCCGATAGTCCAGCGCTCAGCATCACTGAACCCTGCAGTACCTCTTCTCTGCCACAAGATGTCCGATAGTCCAGCGCTCAGCATCACTGAACCCTGCAGTACCTCTTCTCTGCCACAAGATGTCCGATAGTCCAGCGCTCAGCATCACTGAACCCTGCAGTACCTCTTCTCTGCCACAAGATGTCCGATAGTCCAGCGCTCAGCATCACTGAACCCTGCAGTACCTCTTCTCTGCCACAAGATGTCCGATAGTCCAGCGCTCAGCATCACTGAACCCTGCAGTACCTCTTCTCTGCCACAAGATGTCCGATAGTCCAGCGCTCAGCATCACTGAACCCTGCAGTACCTCTTCTCTGCCACAAGATGTCCGATAGTCCAGCGCTCAGCATCACTGAACCCTGCAGTACCTCTTCTCTGCCACAAGATGTCCGATAGTCCAGCGCTCAGCATCACTGAACCCTGCAGTACCTCTTCTCTGCCACAAGATGTCCGATAGTCCAGCGCTCAGCATCACTGAACCCTGCAGTACCTCTTCTCTGCCACAAGATGTCCGATAGTCCAGCGCTCAGCATCACTGAACCCTGCAGTACCTCTTCTCTGCCACAAGATGTCCGATAGTCCAGCGCTCAGCATCACTGAACCCTGCAGTACCTCTTCTCTGCCACAAGATGTCCGATAGTCCAGCGCTCAGCATCACTGAACCCTGCAGTACCTCTTCTCTGCCACAAGATGTCCTCAGTCCAGCGCTCAGCATCACTTAACCCTGCAGTACCTCTTCTCTGCCTCAAGATGTCACCAGTTAAACAGCTAGTTAACCGGGGGCAGAGGGTCAAATTGATGGGGGTGGACCCCATGCCCCCTCCCCCCAACTGTCACAGAACTAGAAGCGTACACAGCTGCACGCTCCTACTTCCCAGCTGCTGTGCTCTACAGTGATCTATAGTTCGCAGATGCGCAGGGTCTCATTTGGGGGGGGAGATAAAATATAAAAGTTGAGTTGCGATGGCCGGGAATCGAACCCGGGTCAACTGCTTGGAAGGCAGC